TTTGACGAGCTGGGCCGTGCTTGGCTTTGACAATTTTACCATGAATGGGTTCTGGCTGGGCCTGGCTGTGAACCCATGGTCTGGGCGGAGCTGGACTGGGATTTTGCGGCCCGTGGCGAACACTGCTTTATCTCTTCACTTTCTGACATTGGTCAGATGTTATTATCCTAGTTCACTGAGCTTCCAATGTAATGCATGAAACAATGATTGCATTCCCTGCTTCAAAAACAAAATATGTTTTTTAATTGCACACTAAGCGTTCGATCTTTGCTCGGTGGCTTACCTTCGGTGGCTTGAACTAAGCTGACAGGCCATTCACGATATGCTTAATAACCACATTGGTATGCAGCATATCATCTGGCTTATCCGAGCGTGAACTGTTTTCGTTGTTAATACTGGTGATGCACAAGCCAACGTAACGTTAGAGGAGACTTCATCTCAAAAGCCGCACTGCCTGCAGGGCTAAAATCCCGGGGGGCGCGTATGGCTCGTATCATTTACGAGGCACGCGACGGGAGCCCTGAGTGGCTCTCTATCGAAAGCTGCTCTAAACCCAGGTCTCACTTGGAGATCGATCTCACTCGGAGATCACGAGTCTGTTGTAGAGTGGCGTCATCTTACGTCCAGTCCACCGAACCAGTGTGCACAATTGCTGGCGGTGGATACCAGACTCCCCCCACGGGTCGTCATGTGCGAGGCAAGGTCGGGGATAAGATATCACGGCAGCAATTGAAGATAAAGTTGAGTTTATTCATGTAAATGCTATTAGGCTGGTACATTTGCACAATGAGTGAGTGCAAAGCTTCTCTTTAATTGATATTTATCATTATCCAAGCAGACTATTGCCTGATACGTCTGAGTCTACATTCACTTCATCCAGGAAAATGCTTCAAAATCGCGTTTTTCGTCGGTAAATAGCGTTGCAACCTTGCGTCAGTTGACACAAGCTTTCACTGCCGCATCCGGAATCTCAGTGCATAGCTGTCTATGCATCATGAGCTTAGGTATTGTTTCCTTTTTCGTTAGATCATGCTTCAACTTGTAGCGCTTAATCGCTCATGCCACAACAAAGTTTGCGGACTTGTTAAAGGTTAAAAGAAGATATATTTCCTTCAACAGATGTCCGTCAAATGAGGCTACAAATGAGCTGTTTTCTTCTGCCAATTATGTTACTATAGCACGTTGCTAATGGAAGGCGGTCATGAATAAGACTATTTGCAGTTGTGCCTCATCATCACTTATTTGCCAAATGCAATTTCAATTGCTGCTGTTATCCCCGGCTATAGTGTCTACGGTGGCGAGCTTTCTCCGTGGACCTTCAACTTCAAGACCTTCTACTTCAAGACCTTCAACTTCTAGACAACTAAAGGGATATTCTCGTCATACTGTACTCTCGATGACCTGCATGTCGGGCGTGCCATGTCCTTAGGAGCGTTGTTTTCAATACCCTCAGTGCACATACTGCACCAGACTATATTTACGGACGTTGACTGTTTGTTTTAGGCACTGTTTCAAGCATTGTACGATGGCCGAAAACAAAAGTATTTGTTAACGTTTTCAGGTGCGATTCGGAATATCCGAAACTACGACGCAATGTTAGTCGGAAATAACGTATCTAGTTAATCATGCTATCGCATGATGTTCTTGTTCATTGGCAAACATTATTTCAGCAGTCGATACGTCCTCCAAACTTCAGTAAATGTTACTATATAGTCCCCGTTCGTCACAAACAACCGTTGACATTGTGTCAACCTCAAATTCGAATATATTAACCGTTTACACGCACGAGAATATCCCTTTATCCAAACTAGCAAGTGTGTCTACTGTTTTCTTACTAGGCAAACAAAAGTTTGTCACAGCATGTGCGCAGTTCACTTTACCTATGTGCATTTATACTAAAAGCCATTAGTCCACAAGCAAGTTATTTATTTGCGCTATTGACGTCAGCTTTCATGAAGGCCAAACCAATGCTGATTCGTCAATGCTGATTGTCAGCTTGAAAGTAAAGATGAGCAAAGTGGTTCAACTGAATCTTATGGTTGCAGTAGGGCATATTAGAAGTAAGTGACAAGTATGTGTCAGCAATTGTTTATGCTTCTTAACCCTAGATACTTTTGATTCGATCCTTTTGGTGATGACGTAATGTGGCAGAAAACAGTAGACACACTTCATCTCATCGGAAACCCTGAATGATTGGTATTTGTGAGCATGTGTGCCTGTGAGTGTGTAAGGGTGGATGTGGGTGTGTGGGTATGTATGTGCGTATGTGAGGGTGTGCGTGTCATCTTACACGTAATTTAGTGAATGAGTGAATAGGTACTAGTTTTCAAGTAAATACGTGCATGAGTGCGTGTAGTCAGTGGTGTGTGGAACTAGCATTGTGCCTGCCTGCTGCCAACGAAATATGCAAGCCCACACAGAGAAAACAGTTTTATTGTGCAAAACTTCATGCTGCTGGCAGGGTTTACATGCAAGTCACATGTTGCAGGTCTACCATAAGCAGAGCGATGTGACATCTGATAAGTAACTCACAGCAACACATACTCTGCATGTCCAGGGAAAGTGAGTTGTGCTCGGAACAGATTGGCCAGACAGTTTTGTCCTATCAAATTCAGAATTGTTTCATCCTCCTCACAGTTGCCATTAACATCATGAGCACACATTATTGTTAGATCTGAATGCCAGCTGCCTATTGCACCGCTGGCACGTATGTTTGCGACAAAGGTGCCGCCAGTTTTCCACCTCGCTGCTGATACAATGCAATACTGCTACAAAATGTCCGTGTTCAGTGTTTTTAGTGTTGTATGTTTGTATATGAGTCTTGCGTCGTGTGAACATTACCTACATGAGTTTAAAGTGTTCCCGCGAAAGTAGGTACTGAATTAGCTCAAGCCAGGATTGCGTTGCGGATATATTTGTAGGCCATACAATGTTTTATGGCGTCATTTACGACATTTTCTGTTTTTCTTGTCGTTGTATGCACGTGAGTTGTGCCGCATGTTGCGCTTGCAAATCATGTTCTCAATGTCATTTTCTTTTGGTACAATTGGTCACCACTACACATCACTCGCATACACTCGCCCAAGCAAGTCGGATATCAATCACTGTCCAGAAGTGCATGATGCATTCAACCACGCATAGAACACTGGCACACCAAGAACATGAACTCACGCAAAAACGAGAGGGCTATCACACGACTTCGCATTGGACACACCGCTATCACACACAACTACATCATCACAAGAAGCCCGAGACCGAAATGCAACACCTGCAACACTTTCATCACTGTCAAACATCTGCTACTCACATGCCCACAATACCAACTTCACAGGACACACATACAAACATACTGCAGAGACGCCAACATCCCACTAACACTCACAACACTGCTCGAGGACTTACACCCCGAGCTAACAACACTACTCATCCACTAAAGACACAACACTGGGCTGATCAATGACCTGTAAATCTCCTCCCCTAGAGCCAAGGACAAAAAAGCCAAAAAAGCCAAAAAAAAAAAGAAGCCAAAAAGAAAAAACGATATTCAAAACAATGAGAATCAAAATAAAAGACCCCAGAATGGCAAAATGGCAAAAAAAAAAAAACAAAAACAAAAAAACATAATAGAAGGGGCAATTCGGCTACCCGGGAGGAGATAGCTAGGAACCCTGTCCCACCCCTCAGCCCACCCTTACGAGCCAAGAAGACGACGGACACTTCAAGACAACGGACGGACCAACAACGAAGACGGACGACAGAACCGGGCCCAAATACAGGACGCTGTGGTGGCCCGTAAGCCACAAATACCATACCATACCATACCAGTGCATCATGCAGCAGAAGAAGCTTCATTGAACACACTCGTCATCATGAACGGCATCTAGGAGTTTCATGAGTTTGGATCTGTGACCAGTAAGTGGAATGGGAGCATAATGGTACACGCTACCAAACCAGATTTTTTATAAACAAAAACATTACGTTTATTACCGTTTGGAGGTGATTTGTTTTATTTGGTCATAGTGTCAATGTCATGTTTGATCATATAGGTAACGAAAAGCGTACCTATTCAAAACGTTTATTCCTTGTCATGATGTGCCTGCAGATTGTTTTCGCAGTATCCAATAGCAACCGTGTATGACCAGGCGCCGCTTGGACGCCTTGTCCAGCCACGTCTTCCGGGACTGTGTGATGACTGCCTCTGCAATCTCAAGTGCCAGTTTCTGCCTCCGGCCTATTTCTTTATCAAAGGATGTTGGTAACTGAACGACCAGCTCTGCTCCAAGATTCCAAACGTTTTTACGGTATTGTATGCCTACAAAACGTTAGTATTTTTTGGAGGCGGTAATGCTCGGATGAACTGACCGTTATGGGTGGGTATTCAACGTTGAATCAAGTAGGCTTGTAGCCCTCTGCCTATTGACTTCTAAGGGTTTTAGTAAAATTTATATAATATCTCATCTGAAATGCATTTTCACTCTCAGTCGTCGAAATTGAAAAATCATAAGCTTAGAAATCCGCGGACTTGACATATTATATTTTCTCGACGATTCGTTTCGTCTTGCCGTCATGTCAGCTAATCATCCGCTGCTTCTCCTATTTTCACAGGTGCATTACCAGTCGTCTTTACCGTCGATACCGTTGAAGATTTTACCGTCGATCAGGGAGCACCCATTGCGCTGGCCGTTGCTGGCACTTTTTTATTTGTCACTAGCTATTAGTTATCTGCAGATATACATTAGCCACCTGTGCACCCGCTTACACTAGCTCTCATCATCTAGTTCTACGTATGTGTGTGTTTGTTTTAATTGAATTGCCAATGAATTCGGTAGACATGCTCCGCCCGCAAACATGTACCACATGATGCAGTCCACTGAATGTAGCAGTTAATCACTCGTAAAAAGCAGTCATGTTTTCGTATAGTGTAGGCATGCATATATGTAAGCATATGTTCACACTAATGAGCGATCCACACATGATATTGCATTTCCTGTTCAGTTATATTTTTAGCACTGGAACACGATGCTCATACACTGTGTTGTTATCTTTCTTTCTTTTCGCCTGCTCCTTCCTCCAACTTGTGTCTTTGAGTATTTCAGTCACATGCTCAAACGTTCTTAAATGCTCTCGCCATCGGTTTACGCATGCGTTGAAAACGGACATGTGTTGACCAAATTTAACAATATGCGGACAATGGATCGACTTCTTGAAGCCTGTGGACGTGATACACCTTCTCCATCACCATCAAGAGATCAACATTTTCGAAGATACTTGCGTACGGCTGGTATGTATTCATATTTGAATGTCCATTGTCAACACGTTGCAGAATGCTTTACATTTTGTGTGATCATTTACTGTCCTCATTCCTATACACAATGCCAACATGTTTGTCATCGTCTTCATGTACCTATCTATTGGGATTGATGTTTGCGTTTACTGACAGACACTTGTCAACATTTTCAGTATAGTGTCCGGCGCAATGCTGAATGCGACCTGTTATCTGTTGGATCTACTCTGTGAGCCAGAACCCCAGTGCAAGTGAGTTGTTTGTTACACCAGTGCCGGAGCACTCTGTAATATGTGTAAGAGCCTGTGACTTTGTTTGCTTGGCTAACTAAACGCATACCTACGGAAAATCATTCCAACGTTGCTTTGGTTTTCAGTGTTTTACTGTATTTTTAAAGCAATGTCTACACATATCAATCAAATATATCCCGCGCACCGACGGGGGGGGGGGGCGGATATCCGCCCCCCCCCTGAGGTTTTCCCACTATCTACGGTTTTCAGGTTTTCAGGAAAACCGAGCGCGGGATATTCTAAATGCTTTAATATGGTCCATTCCATAACCATCTAACCGAATTCCCGGTATAATTTTTTTTTCGCAAACCTTCTCCCTTGCTGGCAGTGGCACTGTTCGACTACAGCGCTGGACGTCGTCTACTTTTTGCTAGAAGCAAATGTCATCATCCGTCCATGAACTTCGGGCTGCTCACAACTATATTGCCTTGGCAAGTTCTTTGAGCACTTAATACTGGACTTGGGCTGCGAAAGCTAATGACAATTTGGGGAGCTTGATATTGCAATGGCTATTATGTGACGGTCCAATATAGCGAACAGCTCGACTATTCACCATTGTCAACGCTTATGATAGCTAAATATCATTTTGCTTGGTGTACATTCATGTCTCGTTTCCTTTGTACCTCACCGGTCTTCCGTCCCCACAGGCTTCGGCTGCAGCACAAGCCACATTCATCGGCCCAATCATCAGTTATTCATCCTGCAAGTTTTAAGTCACTTCGTTGTGACCCGGACATCGTCATCTTTCAACGACTTCAAATGACTATTTCATTCATCATCGTCGATCAGACTCATCATGTAAAGACACTTCCATAATGCTATCTGCCATCTACGTTTGTGAATTGTGCAGGAAGCAAATATCAGGTTGTTATTAGCTGCGGGCTACTCAGTACCGACTGAACTACTGGCAGTAGTGTGCGAGCACCTAATACTTGTATTGTGATACCAAAGCTAAAACGGATGATAGCTTAGCGCATAGCGCCCTACCGCTTTCCACACACACATAAACAAAACTTGACTTTGGGCATTAGCACAATGGCAAGATAAACAGGCAGTTTCGCTGTTTTTCACTGCTTTCATTGGCAGGTGTTACTGCTCATTCCCGTTTCATGTGATGTTAGAACAGCCTTCACCATAGTCTTGTTTTGTCCTTTGCCGTTTTCCATAGACATCCGATGCGACATGCACTCCAACGATCGGTCAGGCGCATCACCGTCAATCCGGTCGCCTGTTAATCAGTTCGTAATCACCGTCAGTCTTCGACATCTGTCAACACACTTATTCACATTATCGCCTTACTTTTGATCTTATCAATATGCAACAATGAGTGCAAAATGCATTGCAATATTGGATCAGTTGATGATGTATCGCAATGACACCGCGTCCTCACCTCACATCTGTTGTGCATACTTGATCACGAATGCCAGTTGTTATACGCAGATTCACATGGTGAAGTTTTACTCCGTTGACGTTTTCTTTCCATTCTTGTAGTCGATCAAGAGTGATTACAGTTGCACATGCGGCCTTACACATGCGTCCTTACATGCTATAGCTGATTGATATGTTGGACACATTGGTTCCTGTGACTCCAAGTAGTTCTGCATTGGTATTGCTTCACTTTATATGTTCTACCCAAAGATCGTTTCTAGTTTTGTCTTGGCTTGCAGCTGTATGCCATGAACATACAGGGTACTGCGCATCTTTATCGTGACATTCCTGTAGTTTCGTCGCTTTCGCGGATGGTTAGGACCATGAGCTCAGTTGCAGATGCGTCCAGAAGCCACCGACATTTCTCCACTTCAAATTCCTAGTCTCGGTTCTTATCCACATACCAACATGATTTGAACATTTCACACGTTTAGTGATGAAATGAACAGGTATCATCTACTACATTATATTTTCATGTAAAGCACACTCCAGTCTGTGAAAAAAGAAAACCATTAGGAGCAACAATCATGCCTTAGACAGTATAGTTGCCATAGATATTACGTTGTGCAGCGGGCAGGCCGGTGCACGAAATGGCGAGTGTGAATGCAGGAATACGTGTGAAAAACTGCCTAGGTGTGGAGTGGCTGGTTTGTCTTCCGTTACATCGTAACGGGCTCTTGACGTAGTCTTTTTTAGTAACACCAATCATCTTTCGAACTTGAATTAACGTAATTGAAAGTTGGCTATCGCATTTGGAGCCAACTTATTTGCTAATTGCGTCAAGGGCGGGCAGCGCGGTGCGTGGATGCCTTTTGGTAAAGCTCACGTCCTAATATACTATCCTGCCCTTACCAAGCGTGCATCCATGTTTCCTCCATCCGGCTCCTCGTGCCGCTGCCTGGAATATTAGCCTACGGCTAATATACCAAGAGATGGAAAACTTTTCGTTGGTATGGAATATGGATGCCTCGTGGTTCAACTGGTGATGTTCAAAACAAGTGTCCCGTGTGTCAGGTAGGTCTTACTTACTCACTTCCCGCTTAATTTTTTTTTCGGCCGCGTCCAGTGTCGCAGAAATCTATTTACCGTGATTCACAGTACACGTATTTATCGAGAACATTATGAACAGTGGCTTATTACTAGTGTCGGAGCGCCGGGAGACGCGAGCAATGACGTCATCGATGACTGTGACGTCAGCCAAAGGTGATTAAATACAAAATAATACAATCCATTTTCGACTGCTTTGCTCTGTAACGCCATTTTCAGGCTGGTGGATTACATAAATCGGAAACCATAGATAGACGCACGAGACACATTACTTACATTACAGGCTTTCCAGGTGTGTAATGTGTATGCATATGGAGACATATGTGGTCACCTTGCATACCTGAGGGGAGTTTTTTTAATGCTTCATGGCTGCTGCTGGACTTGTAATGATAAATACCCCAATATAATTATTCTTAGATTGTATGCCTCCAAATGTATGTATGTAGCTACTACTTACAACTGCATGTGAACGCTAAGGGGTTGTGCCACGTGTTGAAATCAGACACGAACTCAAAATGTCGGCAAAACAACCTCTACCTGGCACACCACTGCTGCGCTACTTTTTATCTGATGCATAGTAAATCTATCTTACCTCTTGCTCAAAAGAAAATAATTACCTACAGGACTTGTCAATGTTAAAGCTGCTCGGATGTGAGTATATGACACGCAACCGTGCGGCGAGACCCTGGCGTAAAAATACGTCCATTCCGTTCAATAAACGCTCGATCATGACCCTGACCGTGTCCAGTGCAGCAACATTTGCGGCTACTAGCACTCCGTTTTCATGGTTACTGATTAGCAGGTTCGGGAGTGTCGACTTGCGAACTGCGCTAGCAGACACATACGCCTTCCATTGAATAGGATCCAGAATATCGTTAAGTAGGAAATATGATTTGACGGTAATCGTGGCGCTTTTGTTTCAGTGGCTGAATGACAGCGACATCTATAACTCAGGCTGCACTCAGAGCCCGAGTCTGAGTTTGGCTAAAAAAATCGCCCATAAAAAATTCTCCCATCGGCCGCCCGCCGCGATACGGGTGACTTTGTTTTTGCGTCGTTTTCAGTATAAGGTTTATTTTCGGTTGGCGGCGGCCGGGCGCATTTTTGCGGTTTTTGCGTTTGACGGTGGGCGGCCGTTTTTTGCGGCGTTTTGCGGTTAGCGGCGGGCGTGCGTGCGATGCGGGCGGTTTTGCGGCGGCGGTGTTTGGCGGCGGGCGGGTAGCACAACCACTCCGGTTTGCACGTGCAAGGCTCATCCTCTCGTTTGGCGGCGGGCGTTTTTGCGGCGTTACAAAGGTGCTTGCTCAAACAACCTGCGGTCCCGCGATGCGGAGCCCAGCATCGCAGATGCTGGTACTTGAAGTGGGCGCAAAATGACCTCGCCGTCGGCGCGCCCCTAACCCCCAACAAACAAACAGAGGTTACTTGAAGTGACCTGGTGACCTGATCTTGAATGACCTTGGTCTGAAATTTTTACAACACGTGTTGAATTGATGGATGATGGAGCGCCGCCGTTTTTTAGGTATCCGCGAAAAAAACGCAGGATAACCGCAGGTTGTTTGAAAAGACAAACACTATTCGTTAGAATTGTGTTTTTCTATTGAAAAACAACCGGAGCGGTCCTTCTCCGGGCTATGTTTTGCAAGTCTGGCCGCGAATCAGTACAACTTGACCGGGGCCTAAACGAATCGCTCAATCTTGGTAAAAATTTCAGGGTATGGGCTCCCGCAGGCGATCTACCTGATGGCACCGGTCGCTAGTCGCTCAGAATTCTTTTGCGCGTGGCACGTGCGATTCCATTTTCCCCATGTTAAGTCAACGGGGTTTTGGACACTTTTTGCGCGATCGCGAATAGCGGGAAAAATCGCAGGTCAAGGTATGATTTGCTGCACACCATTTTATGGCCGACACGTTCAGGTACACGCCCCTGTGTACCGTATACCCGTAAGAAGTCGATATTTCTTGTAGTACGACTTTGAAGTCGAACTTTTTTCGCTCCCCATGTTAAGTCAATAGGCGTTTTTGCAGAGACATTTTCATTCGCTCATTGTACGAAATTATATGATACGATTTTGTTTAAACTTTCAGGACCTGTTGAGAAGAGACCATAGAACATGTTGTTATGCTTCGTTAAGCTGTCAGAATTCGTTTGCTCTTTTTAAGCTCATTTAAAAATGAAAATTTTTAACATGGAAAGTCAATGGGAGCGTCTTTGGTGCTTAATAACTTTGTACGTTGAAGATATATTTAAGTGAAAAGTTGATAGGATATACAACTTTTGATGCTCTTTCCAATGATATATAGAGCGTTATTGCACGTTGTGCCGTTTTTGAGAAATTTAGTAAAAAAGCACGACATTACCGAGATTTGAGCTCACACCTATATATGGTCTTGCTCAGACAGTATACGAACAGGTGACGGGGATACCTCCCATTGAAGGATGCGATTTAATGCTAAATATTAGCGGCCGGCCTCCGTGGGGACGTTTTTGTACGACTTATATCTCCGCAGGAAGGGGACCGATACACTTGCGGTTTTTTGTGTGGGGTAGCGTATACCCATCTTAGAAGTATTTTACTATGGACGATGCATGCGGGTGACCCCTACTGCACGTGACACGTGTAATACGGAGAGGTGTCAGTTTTGTAATAAGTGCAATAACTCGGCAATTACTGGGCCGATTGCGCTGAAGCTTGGCATGGAGGTAGTCACCTACCAGGCGATCCATTTTCATGTGCCACGGTAGGAGTGCCGCTGCACGTGCGCACGTGCAGGGTGACGCTTCCAGATCTCGTGACCGGCCGGGCCGATTGAGTTCAAATTTGGCACACCGCCAGAGACCACGTAGTAGGGTGCCTTGCACAGATCAGTTGGGTCCCAGGTTGCACGTGCGCACGTGCAGGGTGACGCTTCCAGATCTCAGGAACGGCCGGGCCGATTGCATTCAAATTTGGCACACCTTTAGAGACCGATCAGTAG